CAAGTGGTGATAATATGAGGAACATGACCAGTAAGTTCACATTTCTAAAAATATATTTGCAAAAATGAGCAGTAACCCAGGGTAGATTGGATGTTGGTAATATCTATATTTTAACTGCTCTAACAGATTAATTCAGCTTTGGGTGTGATATTATCAGTTACATTAATTTAATTCAGCCTTGAGTTGATATAATTAGAGTAAACTTTGTTAGATTTTACCTAAATTGGACTAAATTTAGATGGGATGGGGTAAAAAAATATAATCTATCTTTGGTTGGGTTGGGTTAGGTTAGGTTAAGTTAGGTAAGGTTGAGTTAGGTTAGGTTACGTTACGTTAAGTTACTGTTATGGTATCGACACCATCGTTGGAGTATGGAGTGGCAATTTCAGCGCCATCTATGGGTCAGCACTCCAGTTTCCCTGGTATTGGACGTTACATGATCAACGCCATCTGTTGGTGGTGGCGTGGCAGCGATAATGGCTCTGGATTAATGCCCTAGTTAGAAAGAGAGGTCGATGTAGATGACCTCTGGTGGGTGGTGTGTCACGATCAACGCCATCTAGGTTGTGCTACGAGCATAATGTCTACTCCCCGGTGAACGAGTGTTGCCTCACGGTTTCCCCAGTGTCCTGTCCACCTAATTAATGACGTTTTTATGTCCCCAGAGGTGACATACGGAAGCGGTTGTACTGAGGAGAGCAGTTTACCTTGGGCAGTCCATGAACCCTTAGCTCCGTCCTGCAAGAAGACTAAGTAGCCGCCGTCGATCTAAGCAGTGTGTTAGCTGCTTGTATGCACAGTGTTGGTGAAGATCGGCATACCCCGCGATTGGCTATTAAGGGTTATGGTGATATGCCTAACATGAAGTGCTGCTAGCAATCTGCTAGAGGCTTCTGTCAGGAGTTAGCTACCCTTATATGAGTTTGTTTGGGAATCCGTTCAGTGTTGCTGAAGCTCTCTGCAAGTGCGTAGCTGGAGATCGAGGGTGGAGTGTAGGTTCATCGTGATACTGTGTGAGTGGACTAGGCCATGTAAAAGGTGAACTCGCCAGTGTTGTCCAGTACGAGTGGACAGGGTGCTGTGTTGGTGAAAATACTGGAGTTGACGAACACTGCTAATGCATTTGTGTCCTGTGTGAACGAGACACTGTTGTACATTAGTGTAGTTATATTCTATTTATATATATATATTTAATGGTGAAGGTGAATATATTGGTGAAGGGAATTGTGTATTGTTTATCCCCCTCTCCTTATTCTTTATTGCACTATACAGCCAGTTCTTGAAAGCTTACTACCGACTAGGGGTCGGATACAGAAAAAGAGGTTACAACATAAAGAACCCAGTTACTGGCCCATAGTGGCCTTAGCAGTTGCGTTGGTTTGGGTTTGATTGGATTGATGCTAGAAAAACATTCTTGACATTGGAAATAGCTAGATGGACCAAAGACTGTGAAATAGTTTTGAGAACTGGAGATGATATGTGAGGACTAAAAGTTGGAAATAATGAGACGATCACAGCACTAAAATAAATTAATATATTTATAGTAATAAATATAATAAATTTAATACATTGATTTTGTATAAATGAGAATACTATAAATTACCCAATTTGGGTTTGAGTTATAGTTACTTCTTGTAATCGATGGGCAACGGTTAGGTACGGTTGTGTGTGAAGATATGTGTGCATAAATTTACTTAGTTTAGTTTTTGTAAAGTTAAATTTGGACAAATTTGGATAAGACAAGATAAATTTTGCTAGATTTCGTTAAAATTAGGTTCTGATGGGATGCATTTTGTTGAATATAGTAAATTTGCTCAAATTCAAATACAATTATCATCTATTAATTAAATTTGGATGGGATAAGAAAAATATTTGGTAAATTTGCAGAAAGTTTGCTTCTGATAGATTAAAATATGAAAGGATGGACTGCCTTATGTTGAAATAGGAAATTATTGGTTTGGGTTGGGCATTATAGGTTAGGATTGGTTTAAATAGTCTATTGGTTGGTTAAATTTTGGTGGAAAATAGCATTTTGCTTAAATTTCGTCAGATTTACTGACATAACATAACCCAACCTGTCCTAACCTAACATAACTAAGTCTAAATCCAACAAGACTGTTGGATGTTTTGTCTTAATATATATGGGTGATATAACTGAAGTGAATGCAACAAAAGAGGGTATTAATAAGGTTTTCAAAAACAATGGATATGCACTGAATGTGTCGGAAAATGCTGGTGATTGAGTTATACAGCAGCCTAACATAAATTATGTTGTTGAAATATGAGTGTTTATAAGGATTATGAGCCTAAAATACAGTGAAGGAAGATGTCCACATACCTATCTATGCAATTATGATATTTGGGAGTTATATTGGTAAACTTCAACATATTATAATTGATTTATAGAGATATGTAGGTAAATGTCTGTACAAAACGTGTATTGAGTGTGTTGTGATTATAATTTGTGTGTGATTAAGTTGTGTGTGATTATATTTGAGTAAATTGTGTATTGTTTGCATTTTGCAAGCTTTGTGTTAGCATTTGTGCCAGTTGTGTATCATTTGTGGAAGATATGTATTAATTGTGCACGTTTGTAGTTCTGTTTGTGCTAATTGTGAAAGATGTGTAACATTTATGAAAATATTGAATGTGTGCTAATAATGTATTTATTCAAGTTGGCTTAATTGCAGTAGTGTAACTAGTGCAATTGTATTTTGTGCAAATTCTGTGTGTTGTTACTTATAAACAAAGTTTTCCTGTGCAAGTGTGAAAGTGAAATTGTTTTTGAGACAGTGTGCAGGCATTTTGTGATAGAGGTATTAAAGTAATTTGGTATTTTTGTGTGAAAGTGCATTTTGATTTGTACAAGCATATATGCAACTTGTTATATATGCAACCTTACTCTGTGAATATGTCATATTTGTGTGCAAATGGCATATTTTGTGTAAATATCATATTTTGTGTAAATGGCATATTTTGCATGTAAATGGCATATTTCATGTGTAAATGTCATATTGCATTGAACTTGGTGAGTACAGTTTCGCCTTCCCACTTGCAGCAAGACATGGATGTACCCAGGCTCTTGGGATTAGCATCTGAGTGATTATATCATCACCAGGAAGAAATACAGGCAGGACGTGAGAGTGACTAAGGCCATGTCCTGTGCTGACTGCTGGACTGACCATCGCCTCATTGTGTCCAAGTGCAAACTTGTGTCCACTTGTGTCCAAATGCAAACTTCGCATCCTGCCCACGACAAGAGCCTAAGATCAGAAGACTGTAAAGAGACTCAATGTCTCCAAGTTGAAGAGCAGCAAAGTTCCTGAAGAATTCGCCAATGGCCTACAAGGCAGGATGCTAGACGCACCCCAAAAAGATCAGGACAGCATTGAGGTGAGGTGGGCAGCCTTCAAAGATACAGTCTTTGCACCTCTACTGCTCTTGAGCACCTCGAACCAGCAACCCGGAGAAACCAGGACTGGTTCACCGAAAACGTTAAAGCGATGCAGGTACTGCTCTCAAAAAGACAAACTGTTCCGAACACACCAGAATGACCCTACATCACAAGCGATGAAAGATGCCTTTGGCAGTGCCCGAAGAAAAGTACGAAGGAAACTGTGTGATACAGGAAGCATGGTATAGCAAGAAAGTCGACGAAATCGAAGGTGACTCAGACAGTCGCGGCACCTAGCGAGCGTTTCTCTGACTGTCTGAAAGCTTTATATCGACCACATTTCTCTGGCTCTGCATCCTTCCTCAATACAGATGGAATTCAACTGCTGACAGAGAAGAAGCAGATCTTGGACAGATGAGTTGAATACTTTAATCAGGTCCTCCAATCAACAGTGCTGCCGCATCAACGACGAGGCCATTGCGCGCCTACCTCAAGTGGAGATCAATCAGGATCTTGATAAACCTCTCACAGAAGAAGTAGTCAGGTAGGAAATCAAGCAGCTTTCCTATAGCAAACATCCAAGATCAGATGCAATCCGTACTGAAGTTCACAAGACAAGACTCCTACTCATGATCCATAAACTGACTAAGCTCTTTAAGTCCACGTAGAATGAAGGGAAGATCCCACAACAGTTAAAAAATGCCAGCATAGTTCACATCTACAAGAAGGAAGGCAACTGCCAGGCTTGCGATAATCACCGAGGTATTTCACTCCTGTCCGTCGCCGAGAAAATCCTGGGTCGTATCCTGCTCAATCATCTCCTTCAACACCCTGAGTAGGGTCTCCTCCCAGAAAACCAATGCGGCTTCCGCGCACAACGCGGAACTGTCGATATGATATCTGCCACACGCCAGCTCCAAGAAAAAGGCCAGGAGCAGCATAGCGACCTCTTCCTGACCTTCGTCTACCTGACCAAGTCCTTCAATACGGTCAGCAGACATGGCTTGTGGATGATAAGTGAGAAGTTTGGGTGTCTCGGCATATTCACCACGATTGTCCAGAAGTTCCATGGTGGCATGATGGCGAAGGTACTGGACGATAGAGACGAGTCAAATTCATCCCGGTGACGAACGGTGTGAAGCAGGGCTGCATTCTCACCCCAGCAATCTTCAGCATAGCATTCTCAGCCATGATCACTGATGCTTTTCGTGATTGCCAGAAGTGAATACCCATCAGATAGGAATGACGGTTGACTGTTCAACCTCAGGCACCGCAGGCTATTACAAAGGTGAAGAAAACTATCATAAGAGACTTCCAATTCACTGATGACTGTGCCCTCAACGCCAGCACAAAGCAAATGATGCAGCACGAAATGGACATTGCTTCTCACAGGCTTGGGACTACTTCGGCCTCATTATCAGCATCAAAAAGACCGAAGTCATGTACCAACCCGCACTCGGAATACCCTAAAAGGAACCACCCATCATGGTCAAGGGGCAGAACCTCCAGGCAGTCGACAACTTCACCTATCTTGGAACGATACTCTCAAGAGCGGTGAACATAGACGCAGAAGTTAACAACAGGATCACCAAGGCCAGCGCTGCCTATGGAAGTTTGTGTGTCTCGAAGCGGAGGTGCTTCCAGACACTTAGGCCCCCCCCCACCCTCTGGTTCTCCTAAGTGCCTCCCACCCTCTGGTTCTCCTAAGTGCCTCCCGCCCCCTGGTTCTCCTAAGTGCCTCCCGCCCCCTGGTTCTCCTAAGTGCCTCCCGCCCCTTGGTTCTCCTAAGTGCCTCCCGCCCCCTGGTTCTCCTAAGTGCCTCCCGCCCCCTGGTTCTCCTAAGTGCCTCCCGCCCCCTGGTACTCCTAAGTGCCTCCCGCCCCCTGGTTCTCCTAAGTGCCTCCCGCCCCCTGGTTCTCCTAAGTGCCTCCCGCCCCCTGGTTCTCCTAAGTGCCTCCCGCCCCCTGGTTCTCCTAAGTGCCTCCCGCCCCCTGGTTCTCCTAAGTGCCTCCCGCCCCTCTGGTTCTCCTAAGTGCCTCCCGCCCCCTGGTTCTCCTAAGTGCCTCCCGCCCCCTGGTTCTCCTAAGTGCCTCCCGCCCCCTGGTTCTCCTAAGTGCCTCCCGCCCCCTGGTTCTCCTAAGTGCCTCCCGCCCCCTGGTTCTCCTAAGTGCCTCCCACCCTCTGGTTCTCCTAAGTGCCTCCCGCTCCTAAATGCCTCCCGCCCACTGGTTCTCCTAAGTGCCTCCCGCCCCCTGGTACTCCTAAGTGCCTCCCGCCCCCTGGTTCTCCTAAGTGCCTCCCGTCCTCTGGTACTCCTAAGTGCCTCCCGCCCCCTGGTTCTCCTAAGTGCCTCCCGCCCCCTGGTACTCCTAAGTGCCTTTCGCCCCCTGGTACTCCTAAGTGCCTCCCGCCCCCTGGTACTCCTAAGTGCCTCCCGCCCCCTGGTACTCCTAAGTGCCTCCCGCCCTCTGGTTCTCCTAAGTGCCTCCCACCCTCTGGTTCTCCTAAGTGCCTCCCACCCTCTGGTTCTCCTAAGTGCCTCCCACCCCCTGGTACCCCTAAGTGCCACCCACCCTCTGGTTCTCCTAAGTGCCTCCCGCCCTCTGGTACTCCTAAGTGCCTCCCGCCCCCTGGTTCTCCTAAGTGGCTCCCGCCCCCTTGTTCTCCTAAGTGCCTCCCGCCCCCTGGTACTCCTAAGTGCCTCCCGTCCCCTGGTTCTCCTAAGTGCCTCCCGCCCCCTGGTTCTCCTAAGTGCCTCCCACCCCCTGGTACTCCTAAGTGCCTCCCACCCTCTGGTTCTCCTAAGTGCCTCCCACCCCCTGGTACTCCTAAGTGCCTCCCACCCCCTGGTACTCCTAAGTGCCTCCCACCCTCTGGTTCTCCTAAGTGCCTCCCACCCCCTGGTACTCCTAAGTGCCTCCCACCCTCTGGTTCTCCTAAGTGCCTCCCACCCCCTGGTACTCCTAAGTGCCTCCCACCCTCTGGTTCTCCTAAGTGCCTCCCACCCCCTGGTTCTCCTAAGTGCCTCCCACCCTCTGGTTCTCCTAAGTGCCTCCCACCCTCTGGTTCTCCTAAGTGCCTCCCGCCCCCTGGTTCTCCTAAGTGCCTCCCACCTCCTGGTTCTCCTAAAATCTTCGTTGGCAATAACATTCTTTTTCCTCGTCTCCCAAATTACCCAATTTATAGTTTAGTTATTCAACTTGTACTATTGTTTGTTACTCTTTCCTCAACATATTTTTTTTACATCACTTTATGTGTATTTATATTCCTCTTTTCTCTCTATATATTTCCTTACTGTTTCTCCCCCTCCCTGTTTCTCCAACTCCTTCCTGCTCACACTCTCCATATCACAACGAAGTCCAGCATCCTCACTCCCCACCAATGTTTCTGTCTGTCTCTCTTCCCCGCTCTCTTTCCCTTTTTCCTATCCCCATTTTTCCCCACTCCGCGGTGTGCGTTCCTCCTTATCCATTTTCCCCACATTCTTCCTCCTCCCCTCCAGCTGCTGCAGACGGTGGGTCGCCGGCTGTACTCTCCGCCTGGGCCCTAGCGAGCCGCATTGCAGAGGCCGAGTGTTTGGGTGGTTATAATGTTCTTAAAGTACGAGCTGCAATATGTTGTCTCGCCAGCTGAGTCTCGCATTGTGTCTGTTACCCTCGTCAATGTCCACCATGATAATCAATAAATCTTTCATTCGTTGCATATTCGTTGGGTAAAATTTATTTGTTCAAATGCGAAAGTTTATATACACTCAATATTATGTGTTTAAATCATGATAATTAACACGTGATGAAAAATGTGACAGTGTCAGACCACGAAGGAAGAATTTAAACAGGAATTTCCTTAAGTACTTTCGCATTTAATAATACATCTTCAGAAGGGTGATCCTTCTGAAGATGTCTTATTAAATACGAAAGTACTTAAGAAAATTCCTGTGTCAATTCTTCCTTCGTGGTCTGACACTGTCACTAAATACTATGTAAATAATCAAGCCTTAATATTAAGTTTCGATGTACGCTTTCCGCAATGATATGTAGCAGATGGCTTCGTTAGCCAAAAGTGTTCGTAGTTCCCATGACCGTTAGTTGGAGTAGAGAGGTTCCCCGGGCGTCACCGGGGCCGTGGAGCATCTACCCGGCGTCACACAACACCCGACATGTGGCCACAGAGAGCGGTCTCCAAAGCGTCACAGAACATCATCAACACAACACTCAGCTTCACAGAATACTACGAATCTTCTCCTCGACGCCACGGAATACCATCAATACACAACGTCACAAAATGCTCCTGTGACGCTGGGTATTGCTGGTATACTGTGACGCTGGGTATTGCTGGTATACTGTGACGCTGGGTATTGCTGGTATACTGTGACGCTGGGTATTGCTGGTATACTGTGACGCTGGGTATTGCTGGTATACTGTGTCGCTGGGTATTGCTGGTATACTGCGACGCTGGGTATTGCTGGTATACTGTACGCTGGGTATTGCTGGTATACTGTGACGCAGGGTATTGCTGGTATACTGTGACGCTGGGTATTGCTGGTATACTGTGAATCTGGGTATTGCTGGTATACTGTGACGCTGGGTATTGCTGGTATACTGTGACGTTGGGTATTGCTGGTATACTGTGACGCTGGGTATTGCTGGTATACTGTGTCGCTGGGTATTGCTGGTATACTGTGACGCTGGGTATTGCTGGTATACTGTGACGCTGGGTGTTGCTGGTATACTGTGACTCTGGGTATTGCTGGTATACTGTGACGCTGGGTGTTGCTGGTATACTGTGACGCTGGGTATTGCTGGTATACTGTGTCGCTGGGTATTGCTGGTATACTGTGACGCTGGGTATTGCTGGTATACTGTGACGCTGGGTATTGCTGGTATACTGTGACGCTGGGTATTGCTGGTATACTGTGACGCTGGGTATTGCTGGTATACTGTGACGCTGGGTATTGCTGGTATACTGTGACGCTGGGTATTGCTGGTATACTGTGACGCTGGGTATTGCTGGTATACTGTGACGCTGGGTATTGCTGGTATACTGTGACGCTGGGTATTGCTGGTATACTGTGACGCTGGGTATTGCTGGTATACTGTGACGCTGGGTATTGCTGGTATACTGTGACGCTGGGTATTGCTGGTATACTGTGACGCTGGGTATTGCTGGTATACTGTGACGCTGGGTATTGCTGGTATACTGTGACGCAGGGTATTGCTGGTATACTGTGACGCTGGGTATTGCTGGTATACTGTGAATCTGGGTATTGCTGGTATACTGTGACGCTGGGTATTGCTGGTATACTGTGACGTTGGGTGTTGCTGGTATACTGTGACGCTGGGTATTGCTGGTATACTGTGACGCTGGGTAATGCTGGTATACTGTGACGCTGGGTATTGCTGGTATACTGTGAATCTGGGTATTGCTGGTATACTGTGACGCTGGGTATTGCTGGTATACTGTGACGTTGGGTGTTGCTGGTATACTGTGACGCTGGGTATTGCTGGTATACTGTGACGCTGGGTATTGCTGGTATACTGTGACGCTGGGTATTGCTGGTATACTGTGACGCTGGGTATTGCTGGTATACTGTGACGCTGGGTATTGCTGGTATACTGTGACGCTGGGTATTGCTGGTATACTGTGACGCTGGGTATTGCTGGTATACTGTGAATCTGGGTATTGCTGGTATACTGTGACGCTGGGTATTGCTGGTATACTGTGACGCTGGGTATTGCTGGTATACTGTGACGCTGGGTATTGCTGGTATACTGTGACGCTGGGTATTGCTGGTATACTGTGACGCTGGGTATTGCTGGTATACTGGGACGCTGGGTATTGCTGGTATACTGTGACGCTGGGTATTGCTGGTATACTGTGACGCTGGGTATTGCTGGTATACTGTGACGCTGGGTATTGCTGGTATACTGTGACGCTGGGTATTGCTGGTATACTGTGACGCTGGGTATTGCTGGTATACTGTGACGCTGGGTATTGCTGGTATACTGTGACGCTGGGTATTGCTGGTATACTGTGACGCTGGGTATTGCTGGTATACTGTGACGCTGGGTATTGCTGGTATACTGTGACGCTGGGTATTGCTGGTATACTGTGACGCTGGGTATTGCTGGTATACTGTGACGCTGGGTATTGCTGGTATACTGCGACGCTGGGTATTGCTGGTATACTGTGATGCTGGGTATTGCTGGTATACTGTGACGCTGGGTATTGCTGGTATACTGCGACGCTGGGTATTGCTGGTATACTGTGTCGCTGGGTATTGCTGGTATACTGTGACGCTGGGTATTGCTGGTATACTGTGACGCTGGGTATTGCTGGTATACTGTGACGCTGGGTATTGCTGGTATACTGTGACGCTGGGTATTGCTGGTATACTGTGACGCTGGGTATTGCTGGTATACTGTGACGCTGGGTATTGCTGGTATACTGTGAATCTGGGTATTGCTGGTATACTGTGACGCTGGGTATTGCTGGTATACTGTGACGCTGGGTATTGCTGGTATACTGTGACGCTGGGTATTGCTGGTATACTGTGACGCTGGGTATTGCTGGTATACTGTGACGCTGGGTATTGCTGGTATACTGTGACGCTGGGTATTGCTGGTATACTGTGACGCTGGGTATTGCTGGTATACTGTGACGCTGGGTATTGCTGGTATACTGTGACGCTGGGTATTGCTGGTATACTGTGACGCTGGGTATTGCTGATATACTGTGACGCTGGGTATTGCTGGTATACTGTGACGCTGGGTATTGCTGGTATACTGTGACGCTGGGTATTGCTGGTATACTATGACGCTGGGTATTGCTGGTATACTGTGACGCTGGGTATTGCTGGTATACTGTGACGCTGGGTATTGCTGGTATACTGTGACGCAGGGTATTGCTGGTATACTGTGACGCTGGGTATTGCTGGTATACTGTGACGCTGGGTATTGCTGGTATACTGTGACGCTGGGTATTGCTGGTATACTGTGACGCTGGCGCCAACGAGCACCACGATCCCTATTCTAA